TAAACTTGAGTCAAAACGTCTCTTTTTCTGGACGCACCTCAGCACCCCGAAATATTCACTCCGGAATCGTTGTTGTAAGTCCTCGCGCAATTTTTGTTTTCGAAATCGATGTTCTGCCAACTGCATCGCAGTCCGGCATCCCACTCGGCTCTTTTAAGGAACACGTTCGGGATTAGCATTACCAATTCATTGAGATCGTTAGATACATAGGTAAGAGGCTTTGCATTAGCAATCGCCCCGCACTCAGAAATGAGGGTGAATAAATATTCGTAGTTCACCTTACGCAAAATATGTTTGACGATGTAAGATCTAAGAGAGGGCGGTAGCTTTGGCGCATGAATTCAGGAATAAAAGTTGTCACCAGTTTTCCCACCATTTATTCCCACTTCCTTCTGAAATGGTATATAAACCAGAAAGAGGATCTTTTTGAGATACCTGCACGAAATCGGGTGCAATCGTAGGAACACGCCCCCGATACCGATCTCATTATTACTAATTCGCCACTTGTAGGGCCGGAAAAACGAGCTCGTGATGTGCGAGATACCTGTCCGGTTATTATCAACCTCAGCACGATCGTGTGAGAGGCCGACGGCCGTTCGAAACAGGAGACGAGAACTTCAATAAAACTGCTACACCCAACTTTTACGTCTTACGACATTTTCACTCGAACTCGGCTTCTCGGATTTTCTGACTATTGACGAACAATACAAAACTCTAAGCTTTCAACGAACAGCACCCCGGTCTCGAAATTGACAAAAAGTCCAGTTTTTAGACCAACTTCAGTATTTAACGTGCCTCTTCTACTTCCAAAATTCGAAAAACTTCCTCCAATTAACAAACATGACAACCAATCACAACTTCATTTCTTGACGCTCCTTTAAATCCCGTATCAAAATTTTACGCGGAATGTTCTTATCTCAGATAACAATTTTTTACGAAAAGTACGCAGTTTTTTCCCGGTAAAATTCATTCTTAGCGCTAACAAATTACATCACCCTTTTAATAAAAATAGTCTTAAGTGCCCATAAATTTAATCAGAACTGTCACTTACATGTTTTAACCAAAGAAAATTAATAAACTATGAATTGACCTATATTTAACAATTCGACGAAATAATCTTTTACAAAGAAAAACTACAACCATTTGAATCAAAAGTATTGTAACTATCTGATTCGGTGTGATATTATTTTTATTTTTTATCCCTCTTGTTCTGGCCGTCAACAGGGTTGCGCCCAATTACTGAATAACTCGCATAATGCGTTATAGAGGTGCCCCAGAAGGTCTTATATACTTCTCCGGTAGGTATTTACCTTACGAATTAGGAAAACTGCAGGAAAACTAATTCGGATTAGCCGGCAAAATGCTCGCAACCGAGTTTGTTGCACATTTTATAAAAATGAGGTAAATACAAACTTTAATTTCATTAAGGTGATACTAAACTGCGTAATTTATATGGTATGGTAGGTCAACAGACAGTAGTATCTACTTGTTTACGTTTTAGTGATCACCTTACGCATTAAATAGTTCTAATTCGTAATGTCGTTGAAGGTTTTATAAAAAAACCTAAACACTGAAGGCTTGTCAGATGGATTTGATGCACCGCTAGTTTCGTGAGATTTAAACGTTAATACATAAACAGTAAATTAATATGCATTTCGGTTGCCCCTGAATATTGATATGCTCCAAACTAAAAGCCCTACACTTTAAATATTACATTATGTTGCTGTAATTGGTTTTGTGAAGGTTTGGTTAAACATTTGCGGCCGCAATTTTAGCTTATGCGTCATTTGTGGTTAACAGGAAGCAACGGAAAGCAAAAGAAGCGAAACTATTGACTTAACGTGAATTTATTACCTCACAGTATTGCATCTCTAGCTAAAACGAAGCATCTACCAATTGCAGGCGATTTGTTCTGCGGAATTAGTGAATCAATTCGAAGCCGTTAACCTTTGCTATGTTATCCAAACTAAAACCCAACGTTTAGTGGCTGAAGTTACAATTTCCTTTACTTTTTTTACGTTTTGAACATTTAAAAAGCTCTGAATATTCAATGAATCTTGATATTCTATTCTATATGAATCTAAATTTCGTTACTCTGTACATAGATATTCTTTCGAGTATTATGAAACTGATGAACTAATTATCGCTTAAGTATCCGTAAATGTTTTAGTAGAATAATCAAACACAAAGGAGGTAATTTCGAGGAAAGAAAAAAAAGCAGGAAACTATCCTTTGTCACGATGAAATATTTATCAGTTCATACATATTTTCAGATTGTTAGACGGGTAACTTTAAAAATTAAGTGCAGTTCACAATTGGCCTCGTTCCAACTTTAACACCAGGGTACAATGGGAGAGCTCTGAAAGTAACGCTGTTATGTTTGTACTTTATTAGTAGAATCTCACTTCCAAAACTTCTACATAGTTTGTAAGGTGCAAGTAAATTACACTATTTAGTACAAAAAAAGAGTTTCCCAACTGAGTGCTAAAATTTTACTTTGTGTACTTCTAGATTAGATAAGTTTCGTCTCTATTTAATCGTGTGTTATCTAAGTTAACTTCGTTGATGAATTAGATAATATAATAATATAATATAAGGAATCGGATTATTGGTTCATTTTATCCAACAGATAAATATTGGAAATACGGCAAGGGTTCTCTGTTTCAGTTTCGTTCTCAGAGGTGTAACCTGGAGTACTCTCAACCGACTAGGAAGACTATGATTGGCAAAATTCGTTGAAACCTTTCATTAGGGTACCATGAAGAATAAAAACAGCCCCCCCCCCCCACACTTTTGATCAGGGGCCAGACATGCGAGAAAGCAGAAATGGAAGATAGAGGACTGGGAATAGGAGAGTAGCCAACAATTACGCAGATGTAGTTAAGATAAATAGTGAACATACCGATGTTCTCAAGAAGCTGCGGGAAGTGAACATGCAAGGTACAAAGTACAAGGTATAACTAACACTAACACAATCCAGATTGAAATGAGGGATCTATAGGGGATAACCACAAGTGAGGGAGTGGTGGAAGCAATACGGACAAGATACCCAGAGGCGGAATCTCTGGTCAAACGAATGGTAGGATGCGGACTTGAAGGATTAGAATGGGATATAGTGGGCGATATGATCAAATATATTTTCAACGGTTCATCGATTAATGTTACTGTCTACTATCGAAACAACCCGAAGAGGAAGCAAATATATTAACAAGTTAAAAAGTCATTATGCAAACATTAATGACGAGAGCGTATTTTCCTCCTAATAATATTAATGCTTATAAATTCAAGCAAAATTTAAAAAGAAATCAAATCAGTTTCGTAACAAATGCCAGGACCAGGAAAAAATACCGGTAGGCACGAGATCCTTATCCCATTCTCTTTCAAATGAGCCGCCTATCATCGAAGTCTATACAGTTTAATAAAAAATAGTGGAGCGTATACAAATACATACAAATTTTGATATGGGCATTAGTTTTACTTTTATTCGAAGTGTCTGCATATGGAACTTTTTATAAATGCTTTCGGAAATAGCATTGCGCATTGTCTACATTAGAAATTTCATTGTATACCTTCATAAATAAAACATACAGCATGCGTTAACAGTGATTTTGAAACCGGTATTAGTTTTAGTTTCATTCAAGGTGCCTACATATGATATTTCGTTTAACTGCCTTCATAAATAAGAAAGTTGCCATTGCGCATTCGCAAAACCAAATTTTAAAACTGGTGTTAGATTTGCTTGTATTCCAAGTCCCTATGTATTAAATTTCATTTAAATGCCTTCATAAATAAGAAAGTTGGCATTGCGCATGCGCAAAACATTTTGAAAATGTCGTTAATTTTACTTATATTCGTAGTGTTTACATATAAAGTTTCGTTTAAATATCTTCATAAATAAAAAACTTAGCATCGCACATGCGTAAAACCAAATTTTTTACACTGCGCATGCGCAAAACACGGAATCCTTGGACCAAGCCCTTTCAAATTAGTCCTATATCTCCAAAATCGGTTCAACGGTTTAGCAGGAGTACGTGTGACGGACGGACATCAAAGTGCAGCCAATAGCAATTTTTCACTTTTAGGAAAATACGCTGAAAATCAGTAAACAACCTGACAGTGAAGTTGAAGCAATATGGGACGACTTTTTCAAAGAAGTTTAGGAAAAATTGGAAACCGAGGGCGAAGAGAGTGATTATTTTGAAAACAACGTACGAGCACTTATGGGTCACTCTCCACAACAAGTCGCATACGTGGTAATACAGGAGCGCTACGCGGAGGACTTGTTACATACGGTGCGATTGAGGGTCGAATGGGTGGAGTGTAGAGTGCGGGCGAACACAAAACTCAGAAAATGCTACAGATGCTGGGGTCGAAGCGCAATATGTCTAAATTGTGGAAGAACACAAAGTGGTGAGCTGTAAACATTTTAAAATAAAGGTGTCCTATCTATGATATACAGAGTGTTCCGCAAAGAAAGGGACTACGTGTTCCTTAGGTGATTCGATGTGAACATGTCTTCATGGATGCGCAAGTATTATCATAATTCAATATTAATTTCTATATGTTATATCGGGTTAGGTGAAAGAGCAGCACATGGCATACATGTCATTGCTGAACCTCGCCCATTCCTAGTGAATAAAGGCATTTATTATTACAATTGTCCAAAGCGCCCACCATCACGTAAACGAAACGAGCATCAATGACACACTATCAACTTGATGTGGTCATCAAGGGCTGTGTGGCGCAGTGGAGTTGATGCTCGACTGCTGTATCAAGGGTTCCTGGTTCGGATCTTGGCTGGGGGCATCGATTTTGTAAATGTATAGTGAGTCTCGATAACCGTACATTTGCAGACATTTTCGACTCGAATTCACCTAAGAAACACGTAGTAAAATTTTGTCCCTTTTCTCCCGTCGTGAATCCATTTTCTGCTTTTCGATAGAAGCCGATGCAAGTGCATGAAACGCCAATGGAAAATGGAGATAATTAATTCCACTTACCTGACAGTGATTCCGAACGAGAGCGAGTTCGAATATTTCTCATACGGCTCATCGCTCCTTATGCTTTATGCCTCAGCAACACGCACTCTTTGTCCATACCCTACCCTACTCGCGTAATTAATCGCCACACTCCGCATTGTCATTTGCCTTTGCAACACAATGGATGTCAGAACGAGGACCATGACGTGCAGTGATGTTGCGACACTACGTCTCTGCCTCCTAGGCATGCTACTTCCCATTCTACTCAACGATTGTGTGACTGGGGAATTAGCCCTCGACGCTACATGAGAGAAAACAAGTGTGAGTTGTGAACACAAACCACATGGTGGCGAAAGAGGCAGACGCGCAATTCAAGGGTACGTGACTGGTACCATAGAGTAAACAACGTTTAGAGAAACCGCGCTGTGTAAATTTTTGTCGGCTAGGGACAGGGACCCGGATCGGACCAAAAAAGAACCGAAAACCGGACCGAAACCGGTATTTTTTTCTGGACCGAAAACCGAACCGAAACCGTTATTCCTTCAGAAATGGAAACGTATTGAGAACCGTCTACATTGTGATTGGATATTATTATAACATGTGTGCGTCACGAATTTAAAAAAGGGGTTATATTATTGAAAGAAATGTTTAAATACCTAGCTACATAATGGGGGTCCTAAATATTTATTAATTGGAGACATAAAACCCAGATATTCGCAATATTCGGACCTTTTATCATATATATATATATCATAGTCTAAATCTGTGCCTATATTGACGACAAATCGAGCAAAAATCTACGTTGCAGTTAAATTTTCCAATCTGTGGTTGTATCTAGAAACTAAGACGTACATATTTACATCGATTATTTTGATGTACCGTTCTGTTTAGCAATTCAAAAAATTAACAATTATACATAAGATTTTGTAGGCAGGCATATTTTAAAAACAAAAAAAATCTTTTAAGTTACATGGTTGCACAATAATTAAAACGCGATGTCTTTCGTACCGTCTTTCGTGATACTTGTAAACTTCGTTGGTACACCATTATTTATTGAGTAGGTATTCTGGATATATCTGCGTGTCAACAAACTTTAATTTTACGTGCTTCATCTTCATTTGTATATTTTTTGACTTATTATGTTGTGTTCTTGATTTGTGCCATATAAGGATTTTAATTAAGACCTCCGCCATCATGTCTTAAGAATACAAGTTCAAAATTACATTTTTTTAAATTTCTTGTGAAAGACAGTCAACGAATGGAAAAGTGGCTCGAATCAGTTGGACACAGGAGGTTGCTGGGTTAGTAACTTAAAATTATAATTATATCATGATAGGTCTAACTTACGGTTACTCACTTTAATTATGGGGTTATTGTAGAATACCTGTCAGAGCAGTGACAGCATTTAAAAATATGCGAGCGACATGGATTTTAGTCATGAGACACATAAGCTTCTGAATAAAATCACAATTGCTTTGAGGTGGAACGAAACAACAACAGCCTGCACTAGTACTTTAACCTCGACTTTAACACTAAGTTAGCTACCTGACTACGAGTATATTACAAATATCACGGAATTAATCAACATCGACACCAATACTGAAATTGCTAATGCAAACTTTTAAAGATAAGGAAACTGATCGTAAAGAAACGTCAGTAAGTAGATTATCAATATCCATAATATGAACTTCTCACTATTATTTTTATGAACAGCCTATAGCCCTAAAGGTGTTAACACCAACAAGAAATTTCGCTGGGCCAAAACGAGATTTGTTTCTTTCTCGGTTTCGTTATTAGCCACCAAATACATCAAAATGTTGCACCGATATTTCCCACCCATCTACATCATCCACGCGATACGAGATTGACTTTTCTGCGTTGGAGTCCTCCAAGGATCGATCCAGCAGATGCATTCCGTGTAGAACACTTAGAAAAAATGCTACATCTTAAAATTAAAACTAAAAATCTCAATAGTGCCCAACGTCAAAATAATAGATTAAGGTTGAAAGGTTGTTAGCTGCTTTGACAAATTTCATCTTCTCTATTCATCGCATCATTGCTTTGTCAAAGGAAAATTTACGGTTAGCGGTCTATTCAACTCTATTAAGAGTCTATTTTGATATGTCCAAGGTTCAACCACCACCTACTAAACCGGATAATAGGGAATTACGTATTGGAAATGTTCATGGCTGGATCACATTGTAATTTGTTCTGCGCGATTGTGATTTATTGTAATATTTATATTGTTAGTCCAATTTATACTGTTTCTATCTCCTTACATTTTATTTTATTTATATATCTACTTGACGATCCAATAGTGCCTACTTACCTAATCGATATGGAAATAAATGAAATGAGAATTTTTGGTAAAAAATAGTTTTTTGTGTAATTTGTCGTTTGGTATGAAATAATCCATGAAAAATTTTATAAAAGAACGATTTAAGAAGTGTTTGTTACGCATAATTAACGAAGTAAATATGACTGTTTGGTAATTGGCTACCGTTCCCATTTGTATTCTGTGTCAAGATGAATCCAACGATAACGATATACCATACTTCTATTAATCGAGTAACTTATTTACAATTGAAACTTTTTAACATTTTTTAAGGTACCTATTCGGTATTCTTAGCGCCAAAAGATGATACGGATATAATCCAACTTAATAATATTTTTATGATTGATAAGGTAAATTTCAGATAAAAAGAATGAAATCAGCTGGTACCTCATCGTGAATGAACTTACTCATACTATAAATATGTAGTGGTTTCGAATTACTACACTGGAGTACAGTTACAGTTGCAACTTTCATGAATGATGACATAATTTCAATATTTCATTTAAAGCTCAGCTTTGAAATAACTTAAGCTCTTCTTAAAGGCTCCTATAGACTGATATAACAGATTCGTACTTTTATTCCCCTTTCCAAAAAAGTATGGTTACATTTGAACGACACTTTTTACAACTGGGTGGCATTCCCAGATTATGATTATTATTATTATTATGACTTGAAGAAAGCATGCGACACACACCGTAATATCACCGTTCAACATTATTTTTGACTGGTATTAAACGTATTCTTCTCCAATAGTTCCAATTCTTCTTAGGGCAACAGTCAGAAGTTTGCACCAGTTGGCAATAATTTTACTGAGATGAGTTACTATCACCTGCGGTGAACCGCAAGGATCAGTATTTGGGCCTATATTTTTTTTATTAATGGCTTCTTGTTCTGAGCATTTGTAGAACGGATAAAAGCACTTGCAAATGATGCCACTTTTTCGTATGCAAGTAGAAACATAATGGCACGATCTGAACAAACTATGCTTATGGTTCAACTACAACAGTCGATCAATATCCTTATTTTTCACTTTCTCAAATCAATAAATGTGTTCACAAGCTCCTCATTAACATGATGTAGCTTTACTAAATCTTTTCAATACGTTGTTCTTTACGATGTATTAGAACAATTATTATTAATAACTAGAGGGTTAAATTTAACAAAAGCGTTCACTCAATTTTACCTTCTTAATGATTTTATAAAAGATGTGTATTCCTTTGCCCTAAATGTATTACTACAGTTCCCGCAGAGAGGAAATCTGCGAAATCAACATCTGCGTATCGTTATTATTACGAAATTGCTTAATTCCTGTAGCGGAAGATAACGATTTTGCCTATTAAAAAATCCTTTCTGTGTTTTCTTTTCTATTGTTAACTTTGTTTGCTTGTTGCGAGAAGATCTACTTATAACTCAGTAACACATTAAGCAAAAAAAAAGGTTTTACTATTCTATTTATGTTACCATCAGAGTAAAAAGTTTAGCCATTTCACTTGAAAGGGATCTTTCTTACTCTAATAATATTAGGAAATTAAAGAACATATAAAACTATAGTGCTTACCTACAATGAATAGTGATTACGATTAAATTTGTCCTACAAAAATCTACCTAAGATATTCATGTAAACGTCTAAACTTCAAAACTAGGTGACTAGATTTTATACACATGGGAGTTAAGGTAAATTATCTGAAATTGTACTTTATGTAATATGTAGGGAAATTGTAATTAATTAAAAGAATCTCTACGCTAGATCAATAATTTAGTGTCACTTAGCTGCCTCCTACACGTTACATTTGTCTCTGATCCCCGTTCGTTTCTCTCTCCTTATGTAATCGAAACACATACTTAGTTACTTCAATCACAATGACAAAAAAACGCAAAAAATTTAAATGCATTGGTATCTTCCGCCCTAATTGAAACTATATCGATATATTTATATAATTTACACAAAAATTGGCCATTTGTATGTATGAGAATGTTAAGAAATACATTCTTGCGATGTTTATCAATTTTGTCGATCGTTAATGATCACTTTAAGTACGCTTATAAATTATTATGGGCGATACATCAAAACTTTCTTCCAATAATGGTAATCTCAGAATTCCTGTCTTGACTTTTAAATAGCCAGAAAAAGAAATATTGTATTCATAACGCTTATTTATTATTGTATTTATTTGGGCTTTTAACCTTGTGCTTTTCATCAAAAGAAAATTTATGCCGCACATTGCATTTGTTAATTGTATTTTCGTTATTAACTCTTAGTCAAATATTTAATGGACACAAATTCTACAACTTCGTTTAGATATCTGTTTACGGTTTCATATTTCAGATCGAGGCATGGAACCCTTGTTAGTAACCAATCCGTGTAACATTTGCATTATATCACTGTGCATGTAAGGTGAGTTAACTACCGAATGTCACGCATTAACAGGCGGAAAATAAGGCAAATCACGAATTCGGTATGATTTCTTATGCTCTACATAACTAAATACACAATCCTGTTTGAAATATGCGTATCCCTCTGAAATCAAACTGCCCATTTTTGGGAGACATCGTTGAATAGGTACATTCAAAGCCTATATAAACATAGAAATTTGCTTGTTAGCCTTTCTCCAAAGACTGCTTGTTAAGTTCACATAAAGAAGTGTGTGCATTCGCACATAGCATAGCATAAAAGTTATAGTGTTATGTTTGCACCCAGACGCAGCCGTCATATTTTCGTTATTGGCCAAGAACTGCGCACTTTCAACGACAAATACACCTAGTATTCTATAGTTTTTACTAGCAATCCCCTGCAGCTTGTAGCGCCGGTATTATTGTCGATATGAAAAAAGCACGAAGTATTTGACATAATAGGTTTTCTTGTTGCAATTAA